TGACCACAAAAATGATTAAAGAAATTCCCCTGCAATTAAATCCTCGCTAAAGTTCAGCTATGCTTAAGCATGCGAAGCAGACAGAGAGGAAGGTCAGCCCGACGGACGGCACAGAGCTGGGGGTATGGATCTCACCGATGGCAGGACCGATTCAAGATCGACAACACCAGCGGGGGAGGTCAAGGATCAGCAGAGGGGCTTGGAGGCAGAATTTTGGAGGTTATGACTTGAATCTTTTGAAACAAGCCACGCCGTTCTACTTCACAAAATTTCCTGACAACTGGAGGTATGAAGAGATGTGGAATACATTCTACAAGTTCGGTAGAGTGTATGCTATATACGCTCCAAATCGCAGAGACAGAACAGGGAAACGATTTGGTTTTGTTAGATTCCTTGAAGTCAAGGATGAAGGAGAACTTGTGAGGAAACTTGATCAGATCTGGATCGGCAACACCAAACTCCAAGTCAATATCCCAAAATACAGCAAAAGGGACAGTGACTTTCAGAGAGAGAAGGCGCAAAGCAAACAACCCACTCCGAACATGCAAAGAAGTTACGCTGATGTACTCAAAGGCACAAGGAGAGAAGTTCTACCTGCTAAACCACACAGGTCCACTTGGCAACAGAGAACGGCAGAAAAGCAATGGACTGGACTCGAGTTCACTGTTAATAAGGAGGATTCTGCATGGCTGGATGGCTGCTACGTGGGAACAACCAGGTCAGTTGAGTTAATCCCAACCATGCAGGAAAAGCTCTATATGGAGGGGTACTTTGCTTGCACTGTCAAACCCATGGGAGGAAGGCTTATGTTGCTAAGTAGTGAGGATAAGGAAGAGTTGAAAGATCTGGTGGAGAATGCAGCAGATTGGCTTGGCCAGTGGTTTGACGAGATCAAACCATATTCTCCTTCATTAGTCGCAAGCGAGAGGATGGTATGGGTTAAATGCTTTGGAGTTCCTTTGAATGTTTGGGGGCCAAAATTCTTTGAAACCATCTTGAGCTTCTAGGGAAAATTTATATCACTAGATGATAGCACAAGTAGGAAACTCAGGTTTGACATTGCTAGAGTTTTAATCTCAACGTCCTCAAAGGATTTTATCTCCAAATCCATTACGATTAAGGTCAATGGACAATTCTTTAACATTGTGATCAGGGAAGAAGAAGCCTCTAATGGCTTATTTTCTATGAAATCAGATCATATCATCTTCTCCAACAGCAACTCAGATGATGATGATATGGTTTCTTGGTCAATTTGCAGTGACCCCTCAACAGATATCCCGGGTGGCGGACAGATCGACCTCATCTTGGGAAACATGCCCAATTTTGAAAAAGATGAAGACGTTGAGACAAGGAACAAAATGGAGGTTGACGAGCTCATTAATTGCAAAGATTTTGAAATCCCTGTTGAAATTGGTGAGAGAGTTGCAGTGGGCCCTCAACAGGTTGCTTTCGTTCAAAAAAATGAGGACGTGGAGGCAAGGAGAGCATTAGAAGATGTTGAGTCTACCAACTGTGCAGATTTCGAAAGTCTTCCTAATGCCGGCAATGATGTAAGAGTTGCAGTGGGGCCTCTTGAGATTGCCTTGGTTCAAGATTTATCAAAGAAGGTTAGGAACAGCAGTGAAGAGCAGATGACATTAGCAGAAAGTAGTGCACAGAGCAACGCAAAATCATGGCCCACCACATGTTCTGGAAGGAACTTGAAATTGGGCCTCAAGGGCGAGTCCTCTAAGCCCAATCCTAATATGGATAAGACAACTCAAAGCCCGTCAAAAGGAAGGAATATGGAGATTGAACCAGAGGAAAACATAGCCAGCATTCATCGAAAGCTTGTGTGTGAAAAGAATGCAGCAAACAATTCAGAGAAACACTTCTGGGAAGATATGGACAGCGATTCTGGTGAAATCAAAGAATGGATGCGCCTACATGACGGTAGGACCCTAAAAACTACCAGAAAAAAGAGAAAGAAAGCTCGATCATGTGCTGAGGTCTACCAAAACTCCAGAGCTGTGCAGATTTCAAAAGACAAAATGAAGAGAAGGGGACGACCAAGCAGTGGACATTCCATACCAACTTTTCTCCCCTGTGCAGAAATACATGTGGCTGGCGAATCCATTGACGACAGTGACATCAGAAACTGCAACAGAGGAATACAAGAAAAAAAACAAGAAAGAGATGGTGAGAGAATTTGGGATTTTGCCAAGAAGTTAGGGGCAACAACGAGTGGAAGCGAGGAGGAACTAATTCGAAGGATCAATGAACTAGAAGCCAGAGATAAGGAAGCCAGAGACAACGAAGCCAGAGATAAAGCAACAGAGGCTACAACTGGAGGAGAAAGGGTAAGTCTCCCCAATTCAAAATGATTTTGCTTTCATGGAATATAAGAGGGTTGGGTGGTGGGGGTAAGCGAAGAGAAATAAGGGAACTCATAGTTAAAGAAAAAGTTGAATTTGTTGCTTTGCAAGAGACAAAAGTAGAGTTGATTGACAGAAATACTTGTAGATCTCTATGGGGGTTTGATAATTTTGATTGGGTTGCTAAGGCTTCAATCGGTAGATCAGGAGGGCTTCTATGTATATGGAACTCTGATATTTTTTGCAAAGAAACAGTTCTTGAGGGGACCAATTTTCTGGGCGTTTATGGTTTTTGGGGTAAAAATGCAGTTCCAGTTTTCATCATCAATATCTACTCCCCTTGTGAGTTAGTGAATAAAAGATTATTGTGGGAGGAGTTAAGCAATCTTGTCTCACCTTCTGCTAGTGGGAATTGGTGTATACTTGGTGATTTTAATGCAATTAAAAGCCAACATGAAAGGAAGGGTTGCAAATCCTTATCCAGTGAGATGAGAGAATTCTGTGATTTCATCAATGAATTGAATTTAATTGACCTACCACTGATAGGGAGGAAATATACTTGGTACAAATCAAATGGAGAATCAATGAGCAGGCTTGATCGAGCTCTTTTTTCTGAAAATTGGTTGTCTACTTGGCCTGATATGAAGCGATGGTGTCTTGCTAGATCATGTTCAGATCACTGCCCAATTCTATTGAAAAATCAGTGTAAGGACTGGGGACCCAAGCCATTCCGTTTCTTCGATGCATGGTGGGAATCTAACGACCTTAAAGAGCTGTTAACCCAAGCTTGGACCTCTGTGAAGGTTCAGGGATGGAAAGGTTATTGTCTCAAGGAAAAATTAAAAGTCTTAAAGAAATCTTTGAAACAATGGAGTACCAAATTCAACTCAGAAATAGAGTCAAAAATTTCTTACTCTAAGCAGAGAATTGAAGATCTAGATCTAAGAGGGGAGTTACAACAGTTGACAGAAGAAGAAATTATGGAAAGGAAACAGGCTTTTACTGATTTGGGAAAATGCATGAGAATCAAGGAAGGAATCTTAAGGCAAAAATCCAGAAAGACATGGCTGCAAGAAGGGGATAACAACACAAAGTTTTTTCATCGTTGTGTCCGAGGGAGAAAAAGAAGAAACGAAATTAACTGCATTCAAGTGAAGGGTCAACAGTTGACTGAAGTGGATGAGGTAAAAGAAGGAGTAGCCAGCTACTTTGAAGACATGTTCAAAGATGAAGGATGGGAAAGGCCGACACTTGATGGCATCCATTTCAATAAAATCTCCCAAGCTGAATCATGCATGCTCTCTGCTAAATTTACTCAAGAGGAAATCTACAAAGCTGTTTGGGATTGTGATAGCTCCAAAGCCCCAGGTCCGGATGGATTTAATTTCAAATTCTTCAAGGAGATGTGGGAGGTAATCAAGCAGGACATCATTGGGTTTGCTGATGAATTCTACACAAATGGGAAGCTAGTAAAAGGGTCTAATGCTTCATTTGTTGTCTTGGTTCCAAAGACATCCAACCCCCAGAAAATTGAAGATTTTAGGCCCATTTCTCTTATAGGCTCCATGTACAAAATCATTGCAAAGTTACTAGCTAATAGGATTAGGCTGGTAATGGGTAGCGTGATTGGGGTTCAACAAACTGCCTTTGTCAAGGACAAACTATTGGTTGATGGGGTCTTGGTTGCCAATGAAGTGATTGATGAAGCCAAAAGAAGGAGGAAAAGTAGTTTTATACTCAAACTTGACTTTGAAAAAGCATTTGACAAGGTCAACTGGAGTTACCTCAACTACATGCTTAAAAGAATGGGGTTTGGTGACAAGTGGGCAAATTGGATCATGGAATGCCTATCCACCAGTACAGTCTCCTTTCTTATTAATGGTTCTGCCACGCGACAAATTTCAGTTAGCAGGGGTCTTCGCCAAGGTGATCCCTTATCTCCATTTCTATTTCTCATAGCAGCTGAAGGGTTGAATGGACTCATCAGTACAGCTGTTAGCCGAGAATTGCTAAAGGGAATCGAAGTCGGGACACAAGGATTCAGGGTCACTCACCTACAATTTGCAGACGACACATTGATCTGCGGGAAGGCTACCGAAGACAACCTGTGGGCAGTAAAGTGCATTTTAAGGACCTTCGAAATTGTCTCCGGATTGAAGATCAACTACAGAAAAAGCCAGCTTATGGGGATTCATACAGACACTAATTGGCTAAAGAAGATGGGATTCCTTCTTAATTGCCAACTAGGATCTATGCCTTTCAAATACCTAGGAATAAAGGTGGGAGGTAATCCAAGACGACTGGGCTTTTGGAAAGATTTGATTGAAAACTTCAAAAAGAAACTCAGTGCCTGGAAAAATCGATTCTTGTCCTTTGGCGGGAAAATTACCCTTCTCAACTCTGTGCTATC